CCGTATTCTTTCACTCTTTGCAAAGAACTTATACTAGAACCCGTACGCGTTGTCATGGAGACCACTTGCGCTGTAGCTGTTTAAAAATTGAAACATTTTATTAACAAGTGGAAGAAAGGAATTTGTAGTTGAATTTCAATTGAAATTAGTATAGTGAAATACCGGAGGGTTATATTCACTGTGCATACACATCTGTGGGGGAGTTGTTACATGAAATGTATGTTATCGGTTTTGTTAGCTATGTCATGTATTCTGTCCTTATGAATCCTACAAACATCACGGATGCCACACGCATGTAATTTCGGATTAATGAAGGCAATTGAGCCACTCGGATTACACGAAACGTTCCTCTCCGTGTAGGATCAACCAATCTAATTTCCTGATATCATTATCCTAAATTCGCTACGAATGTACTCGGCAGTCTGTTTCAGCGCTCCTTTACAATTATTCCCCACAAAATCGTGCGTGTGTCCACAGTTTTAACATTTCTTCATAGATGGCACCATTATTAGCTGCAAAAATATGTACGTCAGCAGGGCCGGATGGGCATTGTCTAGCCCTTTTTTGTACACATTTATTTTTTTCCAAAATACAAAAGTATGTCAAATGATATAAAATGTGTTTTCCATAGTTTTAATATTTCTCAACAGATGGTTCCCTTATTCGTCACGAATTTCAGTTTTTGTGTTAAGATCTATATTAAGAATCACAGGGGGTTCCGCTACTATAGAATAAGATGTTTATATGAATGTGCTACAGAGGGCCAAATGGGCATTGCTCAGGCCTTTTTTGTATTTACAGTATATTTTCTCATTCATTCATCAGTAATCTGTCAGACGACAGGTCCACAGTCTCTTCCAAAACAGTTCCTCCACTTGATGCGATCTTCTGTTTTTGGAAAGAGACATTCCAGGAAAAGTGATAATGTGGTAGTTTTTCCATTTGCTTTCCACATCGCAGTACAACAGCCGTTCAAACCACTCTGGTCACGCCTGTTGCTATACGAACTTGAACCATCTCGAGCATCATTTGCTCTGTGCTTCAAGTCGCTGCTGATGACGCTGCTTCCGGCATCAGTTTTTGGTGTCTCTCTTCGTCTGATGCCTACCCTTTGACCTGCCCAGCAAGGGAGGCCCTGCCAGTAGCTACGCTACCGCTGGTATAGCTCTCAGGGTCCTTGGCATACTCAAACCCCCTCACCACGATAAGGTGGAGACACCAACGAGGGGGCATTTTTTCTACAAGAAAAAAATCACTATATATCATTTCTGCAAGGCGTCTGTTACTTCATAAAAAACTTTCCTATATCCATTTAAAAACAGACACGTAAGAAAAGGAAAAGGAGCAAATGCACAACATAATAAGACTACACTATCAGATTTCAGTTAAGAATCGCAGGGAGACCGCTGTAATAGAATAAGATGTTTATAAGACTGTGCTGCAGAGGGACAAATGAGCATTGCTCAGGCCCTTTTTTGTATTTACAATTTTTTTTCCAAATTAAAAAAAAAACTATTTATCACACGGTTTAAACATTTCTCCATACATGACAACATTTTGTGTGTTCCGCGGAAATTTTTAACATGCCTCCATTACTCGCTACATAGACAACGCCCAGGCATTTTCTTGTATATACATTTTCTTTTTCAGAATAAATAAATGGGCGTATGTTCCACTGTTAGTGTTAACACTACTCACGAAATTAGGGACGGATAGGCATTGCCTAAGCTCTTTTCAGTTTTTACAATTATTTTTTCACAATAAGAAAACAGGTTCGTGTTCTACCGTTTCTTAGGGCCACGAGTTGCGACCGACTGGGTCTGAGGAACAC